GGGCTCGCTTCCGGTATTCGCGTCCTCGCGTGGACACGAGAGGATACGCCGTACGACTTGCTGACACAGTAAACGCGACTAGAAAAATAGAATCGAGAAAGGAAAATGTAATCTAATTACTAGAGCATGGGTATTTATGCAAATTCACAGTTTCTTGCGTTTTTTTTTAAGTGCAATAATTGCACAGGGATCTGCAGTCTAGTGATTACGTATCGAGACTGATGATTGAAATGCTTTTGATACGACCACGAGTTACTAGCCGTAATTAATGGTAAGAAGTCAGTGTGAAAATTTCAATTTGAATTGTAGACGTGGCGATTAACATTTATGAAAGGTAGTACATAATCGTAATAGCTGCATTGAGATGTGCATGTTACTAGTGACATATTGAGACTGGCGATTGGAATGTTACGATTTGATCGCATGTTGCTACTTGTAATTAATAGTAAGTAGTTATTGTAATCAGGTTAGTTTCCATTGTAGGTTAGTGATAATTGGCGTTTACGAAAAATAATTTTAATATATGTAAACAGCATTCTCGTTGCTACCATTCAGAGGGACTAGTTGTGACCGCCGCCGTTTCTAGACGATTATCAACAGCGATGGAATTCTCCAATCCCGTTTCGAGGACGAGAAAGAAATCAACGGTGGCGACGACGCCGAGCACGGATACCTCTCGATTTTCGACGTTTCCGCGGCACAATTAAGACGCGTCGGGACGCCACGTAATTTCTGCTTTCACCCGGCGATAAACTTTCAAAAGATTGTGAAAGATTTCACCGTTACTGTACCATTTAAATATGTATACAAGGGTATGCGTTCCACAGGACGCAGAATTGAAAATATTTACCAGCGAGAACGACTACTTGGCGCCTAGAACGTTTCTTTCTAGGCTACGCCGAGAACTAGTTCTACTCGCCTACATCGAATGATTGTTTGAGTTTCTCAATTCGTGTAAGAATAATCGGAAATATTTATCCGAAATCTGATCTTCGCGCGCTGACGCATATGTATTTTTACATTACTTGTCCAATTCGATCCATAATCAAACGTTTCAATTAAAAAATTCCTCGTGCAACTATACCCTTTATCATTAAACTTTCATCGTCGCAATTGCACAAACCTCGCATTCTTCCACTACTCAGCTCCTTAATTACGTATGCGTCAGAGGACCACGTCCAACGAACGCTTTCGATCGACGTAATGCGTATCAGTGCTGAACGCGCGCGCGCTCACGAGCGGCCAACGCCGCAATTAATTTCTTTCCGCGTCCATTACGAAACGGGGAACGTTTCAGTCGGCTACCGCCAGGAATTCCGCAAGGGAAGCCTCAGGAATTTTATTTCGTTTCCCGCTTTTTCCCCTCTCCTCTCTCTGTCGCGTCTTAAATCATCCCGCCAGTCCGAGCCTCTTGTTCTTCGGTCCCGAGACAGACGGGCGAACGAGGAAAGAAACTCCGCGAGCGTGAACGACACGGAAACCCGCGGACCGTAGACTCGTGAACGCGAGCCTCGCGATCCGATCGGTCACAGTCGAATCGACCGACCGGTGGACAAAACATTTTCTCTTTTTCCCTTCACAGCCAGAAAAAACGTTGGCGAAGAAGAGAAGACAGCGTTCGGGAGCCGAGAGAGTATCGTTCCGCGGCCTAATTCCGCGGGCGCATCGGCGGCGCGGTGAAGGGATCCTTGATTAGCGATTGGTGCTCGATTCCCAATTTCGAAGAGACCGGTTGATTCCGAGACTGTCGAATTTCGAATCGCTTCGAAAGTTTCGCTACTGAAGTTTTCAAAATCGAGATGGGTGACTTGGAACGTTGAACTCTCGGATTCTCTCGAAACTCGAAACTGTATCTAGCTTTTAGAATTTCAAGCTACAATCTTTTTGCCACTCGAAACTCTTGAAATTTACACAAGCAAGGTGTGAATACAAATAAAGAATCATTCGTAACGTGAACGTCGGTGTTCTCAAGCAAGAATCACAAACGGTTTTGAATATTGTCGTACCTTTCGTTACACATCATTACAGACAAGGAACATTCCAAAAAATGTTGCCCTCAATTCGTATAACAGACACTCCATTTTCTCAAGATTCGAATTCTTCGAACGGGAATTCAAGAATCCTATTCGAAGCAATTCCAGTTTTCCGCCACGCGTACAAGTCCGAGGCGACTGGTGGCTCGCGGCTAGTCCCGGCTCGTTCCGCCGCGGCAGAGTTCCTATCTCAATCGAATACTCTCGCGGATTAATTAGACCAATTATGACGTTCGGTCGAGAGACTAGCGATAATCGCACTGCATCGGAACTCACATTCTACGGCGAACGGTCGGTCGGCCGGCCGGGTGCAACGCTCGAGATTGCGTAATTATTACGAGGTCGTCGAAGGTTAATTAACGCGACGGACGGTTGCGCGCGATACGATCGCGTCTCGGGGATAATCCGTGTGCATCTCTCGAACGCGGCGCGCGCGCTTCGGTGTCGACAGGCGCGCTTACGCGCTTCTCTCTCTCTCTTTTTCACCCTCTCATTTTTCTTCTCCCGTTATCCGGGGAATACGGTCGATCGCGTGGGACGGCGAAAACGAGGCAACCTTTTAATCGATTATCGTCGTCCGCCGCGGTCCATTTAATTGCGTAACCAGATACCCGGCGCGCGCCTATGCAACTTCGTTATCGCGGGATCTAAGGCCGCTTAATCTCCGTTTAATTACCGGCGTAAAGGCGGAGATGCAGTCGGCAGGCCTCGGAAACCGCATCGCGCGCTGCTGCGGGTCTAACGCTACTAGACAAGCGATTCGATACGCGGAACGTGTCTCCCACGTCGAATTAGCTTGTTTCGAGTTATTTTATCTTTTTAGAGCTGGGTGACTGTGTTACGTTGTTCTGTAAGCTTCTTTCGCAGCTTTGAGTATGCGAGAAGTTTCGGAAAGCTGGAATTACTAGACGTTCTGTAAGACGAAGGAATCAAACTGAATGACGTAACGTAGAACATAGGATATCGTGTATTCATCTGATACCAATAAAACGAACGAAACTTTTGGGACAATATAATGGTATGAGAAAATTATAAGAAGGGTAATCAGGCAGAAAATGATCGCGAGGAAATGCGATTTCGAAGTGTCGATCCGCAGTGATTTCGTCCTCGAACTAATTCAATTGTTTTCGGGACTGACTGGGGCTTCACGGACACGAACATCTTTGGGATTCGAAACGGTCGCCGTGACATTTCGCTGAGAAGTCGAAGAGCCGGGTCCTAATCCTCAGCGAAGCCGATTAGCGCTGTCGTTCGATCGCCTTTTACTTTTCCTTCGCGGAACAATTCTCCGGTTGCCAACAGGAATTCTTTTTCCATCGATTTTGTAATACCAAGTTACGTAACCGTGGATCCGGTCGAAAAATCGTGTGTTTCGGTGTGTCGATCGTTTCGTTGGGTCCAAGGACAACCGATCCTTTCGCGGCGATCGATCAGAGGTAGGTCAATCGTGTCTACCAGAGTGCGGAGGCCCGTTGCTTAGTCATTGTTCCTGTTTCGTGCGGTTCGTCAAGGATTGCGCGGTCTCAATGCATGCTCCAGTTTCCGGTTCGTTAAACGGTCGCCTGTTATCGAGGCTATTCTTCCTCTCTTCTGAGTTTTTTTCCGGCGAACGATTCGAGGGAGGCCTCGTTACGGCCATTATACGAGGCAGGGGCGATTTCGTGAACGATGATCGGAGACGGATGACGGGGGACTAGGGTAATCGTCCTGCGGACCCGCATTCGAACGGATCACGCGAGTTCCGGGTTATCTAACGCGAGAAAGTACGGCTCACCACAATTCAATTTGCCGATCCCGATCCACTGAAGTTTTTTCGCGGAGCGTCGGGACGTGCTCCGTCTCGCCTCGTTTCACCGTGAACTTGCGAACCGATTGAACGTTCCTACAAGATCGTCGAAGCAGGGTAGAACCCCTTAGTTTATGTTATTTGAAGACGAGACGGGGTGTCTGTATTCATTCATCTTCTTCGACTAATTCTGGTTCCATTTTCGTTTGAAACGGGAGGAGATGAAGATAATATCGTCGCTCATTTTTTATATAACCTTATACAGATATATATAGATTGCAGCATGTTTGCGACTTGATAGTACTAAAGTTATCATTATCTATTAACGTTCTATCATATCCTGATTTCAAGTAAATTCCTGAGGTTTATGTACCAGTGCACCGTTTCCATAACTGTTCTTTTATCGGTGTTCGATTCGATTGACAAATTAAAGCGTGCCCATCGCGCGTGCAGGGATCGCTTCCGCGACATGGGCGGGTCCCATCAGCTGTTCCAGCAAGTTTACGAGCGTTTAAACGCGACAGGCGGACTCGACGGCGGAATGGCAAACAAATAAATGTCGTGCACGATGTCGAGCGAACGGGACCGCGTGCCTCGAATGCTCGGACCTCGCTTGAAATTCTGCGTGTGACCGGACCACGCGCGCGCGCGCGATGCCCGACACGCACGTACCAACCAAGGCAGTAACGACGCTTTTGTCCTGACACGATATTAAAGAAAGTGAAATGTGCTTGAATTATGCATACGTACGAAAAGAAAGTAGCTTCGTGCCAGACCCCTATTGAACTATATCGATTCGCGAATTCCGCCTGGCCGAATCGTGAGTTCCCTTTCTAGTTTCCAGCTCGATCAAAATTGATTTGATTGAATCGATAAAAATCTTCGGCCCCCGTAGATCGATAATATTTTCAACATTCTATTCGAAATCATGTAATAGTTCCAAACTATACTATTGTGGAATCACCTAAGCGAAGAACGAAACGACAGAAGATCAGCTTTGCGACAGTCACAGGTTTGTTAACGTGGTTGAAGCAAGGTATCGGTTTAAATCAAAGAGAAACGACGAACGTAATACACGTTCGAATTATGTCGTAGAAAATCCACGGTATCATAACCGACAAATATACCAGCGGTACGATAAGATCGAAAATCGCTACGATTAGATTCGGTCGGTGACTCACCTTCGGCTTCTCCCGCTTCCTCTTGATGATCAATCCGTCGTTCTCGATGTAGTCGGGCACGTCCTTCCGGTTACTGAAATTGAACACCATCGTGTTGTTCTGCTGGTTCCACGGCTTGGTCTCCCACAGGCCACCGCTGCCTGACCCGGACTTCTTTGCTGGCTGAATCTCATCGGCACTCTTCAGGCTGACCACAACCTTGGTCGGCTGTTCTATGCTTTTCACCCGATTGATCAGATTCTTCTCCAGTTCCCGGTTGCTCAGGTTTTGCTGCGGATGCTGTGTCTTCGTGGAGACCAACGGTCTGATGATGCCGATTTGCTTTTGTGGCGGGGACTCTGCCGTCTTTTGGCATCTTATCGTTTTCGACTCG